TATTCAACAGTTAAAAGAAATAAACTAAACATTTCTTGCTGTAGTCGTTCCAAAGCCGAATCTAAAGGCATGACAAATGGTATATTATCATTCACAACAGAAACATGAAGGTTCCCAGTGTAACTTTGACTGAACTCAAGTGAGTAATCACTATCCTCAACTGTATCCATTGTGGGCAATTCTTCAAGTAATAAATATCTTTGTTTTGATAATCTTGATAATGCAGAATATAACTGATTGCCAAGATTCATAATGTTAACCAGGTCACTTGCTTGAAGTACTGAGTTGTTCCGATATATGAATAGTTCTCATCGGATTATTAAAGGTAGGACCAGGATTAATTTCAATATCTCCACAAAGGGTAAGCTTGCAGTAATTTACGTTGTAGTTGTGGTTTGAATCTTTGTAGATTAATTTTTTTGTTTTATTAACTGTTTTTAGGTTGTTGTAAAATTGTTTTTTCATGTGAAGTTTGCATTTAGACTTCGCATGTCCTGCTGATCTAACTGAATCTGACTTTTTACAATTTAGTCTTGTTTTAATGAACTCGTGAAAACAATTGTTGCTCACAACTCTCTGATATTCATGACTGGAAGCTTGTGCATAGCAATGGATGCAAGATGAAGCTGAAACATTTCTTTTGATTTCTTTTCTAACAGCTCTTCTCAATTTTCTACTTTTTGTCAACAGGCGACAAACTTTCTTAGCTGGGACTCTACTTGGTGCTCAATCACGACGTTGTTTGTAACTTAAAAAAGTACTATATTGATACTTTTCATCATTATTAGTTCTACTATTCATAGTTATCATACACTTTGCTGTCATACACTTAGCATCATATACTTTTCCAGATATAACTTTTGTATTTATGCGTATAACTTCATGATTCATAGCATTCAAAGGTAAGTTGGCATTCATGGCATTCAAAGTTAAATTGGCATTCATAGCATTCAAAGTTAATTTGGCATTCAAAGACAAGTTGGTGTTCATAGCATTCAAAGATAAGTTGGCATTCATGGCATTCAAAGGAGCAATGGCATTTACACACGTCTTTGAATTTTCATAAGAAAGTGCCATAACCTATAAGAGACAGAAATAGGATATTAATTCTGACACACCAATTCTGTTTGACCCATCATTGTAATAATAGAGGCGCAAAAAGCATCTTTGAGTGGCTTGGAAGGTATTCTGCCCAGAGTCCTAGTAGGGTTGAATTAAATACATTACACAACACATAGTATCTATTAACACACAAGGGCAGTGGAAAAAGCAAAGCAAGCAAACCCAAGCTGGCTGTGTGTTCAAGAAGCTGACGTTTCTGTTACTTGTTAACATGACTATATATCATAGATTATATTCTTGTCTTGCAACTAATCCCTTGAGAATTAAAAGAATGTGCGAAATTCAGTAAAAAATAATGAGATTCTTTGTCTTAATACTACCACATGTCTGCCGTTTCCGGTAGTTGCGTAGGGACCTTTCACACAAGAATATATTTTGCTAGTCAAGAATATAAAATTGACATTACGACATACAGTAGGAGTGAATATTTTTATTTATATTTATGACTTTAAAGAATTTCTTGTTGCCAAAATGCAGCATGTACTACCAAAATTAGAATGTTTAGTATCCCTTACCTCAGTTGAGTCTGGAAGCTTTGTCTTGACATTCATCTTTTTAGTATTTTTCAACGCACAAGACCGTTTCGCAGTTCGCAGTTTAGAAAAATACTGTAAGCATGCGCATTGCGCTGCCAAATCGTATAACATGATCTACAAATGTCAATAGAAAGTATCTAAATATCATGGAATGTACACATTTATCAAGGAGCCTGTTTGTGACACTGACGACAACCGACAACAGACTCAGGCATTTTTAGACTCCGCACTGCGCATGCGCAGGCGGAGTAATGAGCAAATACGAATCCAATAAAAAATGTTAGTCAGAATCACATATTTTCAGAGTTGGGTATAAAACCATTGAAAATGAACTCCCTTTAGGACTTAAGTTGATGAATTTCACTTCATTAAACTGTACACTTATTCATAATTATTATTAAGAAGGAATAAATCTTAGCTAAGCTTTATTATATACACATTCGTGATTAATTGCTTTTTCTTTTGTTATGCATTGTTTTAATTAGGCACAGAGGTAAAAATATGCGATTTTGACTAACAATTTTAATTGGCCTCGTACATGCTTATTTTTTCGCCACTTGCCATGAAAAGCATGTCATTCAATAGCTAAAAGCCTGATCTTTCCGAATATGAAAACCAATTGTTCATACGCCGAGTAATTCACGTATAATAGCGCGCTGAAGTTCGATTACCTTTTTTTTATACACCCTGTATAGCAAAAGGTTCATTAAGCAAGAAATGCAAGTCAGCATCTTACCTGGAGCAATAAGTTGAATCAACATGCACAAATTACGTTTTATTCAAAAGTACAAATAGAGACAATCAGGAGCAAAAATTATTGAGACAACCACATAATGCCCCCTCACCCCCAATTCAATGTTATGTGAATGATTGAAAAGAGAAAATTCAACCCACTTTTTCCAACATTGATCATGGGGTAGGGGGGAGGCCGACATACTTTAAAATGGCCAAAAATGTGAAAAGTCTCATTATTTTTGCACGCAATTGTGGGTGCGAGCTTCCTAGGTGGTTTAGGGGTATGGCCCCTGGAAAATTGATAGAACCCTAGTGCCATTTCCTGTGATTATGTCATATTTCTTTTTTTTGCACCCCAAAATCAATCCATCCCTAGTCAACAGCTATCCATATTTATAGGATTTAAAAAAAGCCAATCTGTTGTCTTATAATTTATAAAGAAGAATAGAATAGAATTTTATTTGCACTCGAGAAAAAAAAAAATGACAAGATTATTACAATAAAGTGAGAACGGTGCTGGGGAATTGGAGTAACTAAAGTTTTCAAGCCAATTCCCCATAAGAACTATATACAACAATGAATTAAATATGGCAAATAATAATACAAAAGAAAAATAAATTTAGAAATATATATAGAAATATAATAAACACATATATACACACATACTGTACATTAACAATTTGTATCACACACAATAGGTTTGATTTGATTATAGTAAGTAAACATTTGATATTAGGAATAGGTATCAAGGCAATTCTTTTTATTAGAGATTTCCTAGGTAGTAATTTGTCTTGATTATCAAGAGAACTCCAGATTTTTATTCCAGAAAATTTTAACGAGTATTTTCCTGAGTTACTAGAAACAGATGGCAAATGAAAGTTATGGGTTGAATATCGAGTATAATGTTGATGTATTTCTGAAGAGTGTGTAAAATAATTAGAAAATGCTACTGGTAACCTATTATTAAAGTAATCGTACATAAAAGTACATTTTTGGGTGTAAACAATGTCTTTTACTTGAAGAATACCTAGTAATTTTTAGATAGGGTGGAGCATGGGATCGAGGTTCAGAAAAAGTCATGATCCTGACAGCTTTGTTGTTTAAAATGTTTAACTGATTAAGACGTGACTGGTACGTATTTCCCCAAATAATTGCCCCATTATAAAGCTAAGGATATATTAGGGAGTAATAAACATTTTTTAGTGTGTCAAGATCAACATAGTGACGTAATATTGAAATCATGCCAATATTCTTGGAAAGTTTCTTACATATAACGTTTATATGAAATTTCCAACTCAAGTTTCTATCAAGGACACCCAGATATTTAAAAAATTCTGACTGCTCTAGTGAACAGCCATCTAACTTGATATTTGGAATATAGTGAAATTGTTTTCTAACGGATGAAAATATCATAAATTTCGATTTTTTTATATTTAGCGATAATTTATTTGCTTTAATCCAATTGGTAAGTTTTTCTAATTCAACATTTTCCATTGTGGTTAAAGTTAGTACATTACTATTTTCCAAAAAAGCATTAGTGTCGTCTGCAAACAACCGCAATTTTAAAACATTGCTGCAATTCGAGATGTCATTAACACAAATAAGAAATAATAGTGGGCCTGAATTTGAACCCTGTGGAACTCCACAGTTTGTTTTAATAGTGTTTGAGAGTGTCCCATTAAGGTCTACAAATTGTGAGCGATCCGTTAGATAGGTTCTAAACCAATGTAACGCAACGCCACGAATACCATAGTGCTCCAACTTGGAAAGGAGAATCGTGTGGTTGATAGTATCACATGCCTTTGAAAAATCAATAAATATTCCACAAGTATAAAGCCCCTTATCCATGGCATTAAGAATATTGTCAATAATTTCAATTAATGCCAACGTTGTTGAATGATTTTTCCGAAATCCAAATTGGTATTTGTATATAATGTCCTTTTTATTCAAATATGATAATAGTCGTTTGCACATTAATTTTTCTAACATTTTTGAGAATGGTGAAAGTAAGGAAATAGGTCTGTAATTTGATAACAAGTGAATCAATTCATTTTTATAAAGAGGGATTACTCACGAGAGCTTGAGTTCTTCAGGAAATATACCAGAAGTAAATGAAAAATTATATAATTCACTCAGTTCTGATGCAATAACTGGTTTTGCAAGTTTCAGTAAACTAATAGGAATTCCATGAGGGCCCAAAGCCTTTGAGGCATCAAGCTCATTTATCATAGAAGCCACTTCATTAGGAGTTGTAGGTGTAAGAAAGAAACTTTCGTGAGTATTCAAAGGAGTAAGATAATCTCGAAAGTCTTTATTGGAAGGAGATATGTTTTCTGCAAGTTGAGGACCAATATCTCTGAAGATGTTGAATTGATTGGCAATATCCTGTGGTTGATCAAATTCAACGCCATT